AATTGTATTTTTTTCCCTTGTCTAGTTGAGGAGGGGAAGCAATAGAGCAGCTTAGGGAGCACCTGGTGGCTAGCCAAGGACAGCCCCACACAACCATCCAGGTCTTAGCTAATCTCTCCTAGTTATATCCTTTCCAAAAGGAAATAAAAATAAAAATACAGCTTAAAGTTAGACAGTCCATCACAGCATGTGAGCAAATGCAACATGAAATATTTTTAGTACAAAATAGTAATAATACAAAATTATATTTGGAAGCACTTTGTCTTAAACACACCTAAACACAGCTCTAACCTGATAACACCTTTTTCTTATATACTGACTCAATAATGTTACAATAAAGCATACATTTTAATCACTGATAAGTTCAGCTGTCATATAGTAACATAGTCCATCCTTTGCTTTTCATGTCTGTAGCTTTATTCCAGCTGATAAAAATGTAAGATATTGTATAGAAAATATAAGAGTTAAGAAATTACTCAGCAACAACATATGACCCAACTACTCAATTTCCTAATTTACCTAAATGTATGTACACAAATTCTATAACAAAGCTTTCACATTTGTTTAGCATATCTGCTTTCTGAACATTTTAATTATTTCAGTTTCAACCTGAGCTATGAATACCAATGTGAATTCCTTCTTCCTTCCTCCCCCCTGAAACATGCATTTACTGTCTAGTAGTCTGTGCCACCCCAATCATCAATCTGCACAATATATGCATTATATTTTGTTAATGATGCATCTGCATTCTCTACGACATCGTATTCCCCCATCTTTTTCCAATAATCTGACTTCTCTTCAGGTTTGTTTTAATATTTTTAATACCCATTCCCAGCTGCCCCAAACAATACACAACATAGAAATTGCTTTGCAAACACCAGAGAGGTATTTAGCAAGTCTAAGTTCAGCTATGATGTATACCGTTACTGAAAAGGCAGCATAACAACTTAATCAATCTTAAGTTACACAGTTAGTTCTTCTAACCATGTATATATCAGTGATTATAAGCTCCTAAAAATATTAGAGGCAATCACTGTCATTCCAATATGATCATTTCAAACTGCAAACATCCATGTTCAAATATGCTTATTAATCCAATAGAACTGCATCTTTATAGTTTAGTTATGTAGATAAAAATCTTTACGTTCTTTAAAATGTACCCAATCAATGAGATTTAAAGCCAAAGCATGACTGATTAAAGGAATTCTAAAGAATGCACTATTGATCCTACTAAACCATATCTGAGATTTACAGAGTTAATAGTTACTACAAAAACACTTGTGTTGTATGAACTAGCATTATGGTCGTGCACATAACATTTGCTCAGTTGGGTGGCTTGCCAAATATGACAGTCTTGGGGCTTTCAATTCGTATCAAATGGAACCCAGGCTTTCTACATTATCATGCTGTGACCTGCTGATCTAAAATAAATAGAAAGTGCACATTTAACCTGTAGTGTTTGCAAGTGACATCGCTGTACATTAGAAACTAATACTATCATTACATTTGTTTTCATTGATGTTTTACACCATATTCCCTCTGTTCCCCCTATTTTATTGTTATTTTATCATTAGGTAATTGTGGATTCAACTGTTATTTTAGAACATCCCATTTCAAGAAACTCAATTATAATTTAGATTGACTCAGAGTAATCGGCACACGTGGGACTGTAATACATAAAGAGATATAATATATACAATCCTTTTAGTATTTTCACATAAAAGGTTAGCTCTTGTTAACGTAGAATGGGACATGCAGATTCAATTTCCAGTAACATTACTTACTTTCTTCCCTCAGCTTGTTTAATTCCTGCATTATATCACTATACACATAGGATAAAAGCTCCTCTTGGGATTTTGTTCCATCCAAATAAACTGAGGAAGATGAAAGAAAAAGTTTTCATGAGTTCTGTGCCAGCTATCTGTAAGAATAATTGTCAAAGTCTTCAGGATTCCTATAGATGCCATCAGAAGAGATGAAAAAATAAAAACCAAGAACAGCATCTCCCCTTTTCTTTTTTCACAAATTCATTGTACATGTTAAAAAATAACATAATGTAGTTAGTTAGTAATTCATGTGGAAGTTTTTGTGGTATAGAAGTCTCCATAAGGGTAATAGTAATAATGTTAGGACAGCAGACCAATGGGGTAATTCAGCAGAAAGCTTTCTGTGCAGTGGAAGACTTCAGGTTCCTCAGCATTAGTGTTTGAACAAGTCAGGGAACAGCACTGCAGTTCCATTCTCACTCCACAGTGAGAAGCGGTGTGTGGATGAAGGAGCCACCCAGCTTCCCTTCCCTCTAGTGCCCCCTCCAGAAGGAGGCAGTCCAAAAGCTGTACAAGTGTGAACATGACATGAGCTCATGGCAGTGCCCTACCAGCTGGCCCAGCTTTGATACTTCTCATGCAAAACTGGTGACTATACTGTGTATAGTCAGCACCTAGAAAGTATCTTCAGTTTATTACAGGGCTTCAACCAGGATATCAATTTGGTTCTGAAGAATTCTGACAGTGCGTCAGCTGTCATCTCAGAAGCTTCCTATTTACACATACGTGTGTTGTCTTAACAAGCTATCTTGTTAAGTGGACTTATTTAGTGATTAGAACGTTTCTATTTTTTAATGTCATAATTTTCATTATTAAAAAGCAAAAACAAAACTCCAATAGGCTTGCAATATAAACCAACAAAACAGTCAAATTCTACTAAGTGCTACAAAAACATCTAGGAAAATTTTGTTCCATTTATAAAAACCCCACATCTCAACGAAAACTGCACAAGTGCCACATTTAAGCATTTTATAAGTTTAAAATTAAGGATACCATACCAACTTGCATACTTGCATTCTCTTCCAATTCATTTTTATATTTCAGATACATAGGCCACACGTGTCCATCGAAGTACCCCGGTGTATCTGCTGGCTCATAGACTCTGGTGCTACACAAAAATATATCTGCTTTTCCATACAAGTTTTACATCTTCCCCTACTGTCAGCTGGTTTAATAACACCTTTTATCCAAAATAAAAAAATAAGGGCTGGCAGTTTGCATAACTGTTGGAGTAAAGGAGGCTCCTTTGTTTTAATTCAATCTGTGATAAAAGTTTTTGCTATCTTACCTATTTCTGGCTATCAAACCACATTTAAGAAGATAAGGTAAAAGGCTGGGTTTTTTTAATTTAAAAAGGTATTACATATAAATTACACTGTATTGAAACTCTTACAAAAAATTTACTTTTTTTTTTTTTTTATTAGGTATATAGATTTCTCAAGCTTTAAATTACTGGTTGTTGAGTCTAGTCACTTCCATTCTGGAATTTCTTCACTCAGCCAGTAGATTCTGACTTCATGCACATGTATTGCTCCAAACATAGAGTACTGCTCCTAATTTGGAGACAAGTCAGACACTGGCTCAATAATCTAAATCAGATACACAGTACAACTAGTGTACAGTCTAAACAAACCATACGCTAAAACCACACATGAACATCATTATTTTAAAAACAATGTATCGTCATGTAACTGTATTCAACCAAGAATAAGACTGCTTAGTATTTTTTTAACTGCTTCTCATTTTAAACATGGTTTAACTCAAATACACAGTAATCAAAATAGTTTATCAGGACAACAAATTCTCTTTTTAGTGTTTGTAAAGCATTTGTAAAGCGTTTAGTGTATGTAAAGCACTTTGATATTCCTGTGCTCTAAAATAAAAACCAAAACAAACAAATCTAAAACAAACAGATGACAGATGATCTTAATAGCTTACATTTGGCAAGCTAGTACAAAGAAAAGCTAGTACAAAAGGACTGCACCATTCAGGGGACTGCTCCAGTGACCCTCGTTAAACAACAACTGAATAATCTTACCTCCTTCTCCTTTTGCACTCTTCATAAGGAAGGGTCAAAAAATATCTTCTATTCCAAAGTTCATTAAGTGGCCTAAGATAATAACATATTTAGTTCTCTCCTCCATTTTAGGGCAGTTTTAATATACCAGGTTACATATTACTGCTTACTCATAATTGTAAAGCAGAAAGCCTTCAACAATCAAAATATAAACATTTTTCTGATTGTCACATGCACTCTGTGGCTCTTCTGTCACAACCCCTGAGCTTGCTGGGCTTTTTATCCAGTTGTGAATCTTTGTCACCATTTCATCCATATAGAGGGCATCAAGTGCTAGATGAAAACAGAAAGTTAGACATCCCTTAAACACAGAGAATAAAAGAAAAAAAAAACCTTAAGTACCCTTCAGTTAATCAGTAAGAATCAAATAATCCATATACAAGTTTAAAGGGAGTTCAGTTCATGCATATTAGTAGTCCTAGGTTTGCAACTGATGATTTCCTGAAACCAAAGCTTGCACCAGGATTGGGGTATTTCTGCTGGGTATAGTCTCTCTGAACTTCATGGCACCCAAAATTGTGTGAACTCACTTCACAGCTTTTTGCTTCATAACAGAAACGGCAGGGACTGTTCTCCTCTTCCACAAAACTCGTAAAAACTTACTTACCCTGAGACCTCCACCCTTGTGTCATTTGTCATAGATGGATTGGATGATCAACATTTTTTGTTTCAGGTTTTTATGAGGTTCAGGTATATGGAAGATGGGCATAAGTGGATTTAAAGGAGCACAGCACACAAAGAAAAAAAGCCCAGTGTAACACCTGGTTTTGTCTGTAGATACACAATATATTAAGTACTGAAAGACAGAAAGAAGGCAGCCTTCAGATAACATAAAAGCAAACACATTTTCGAAAAGCTTTTAAGAGCAGCACAAATCTGGATATTTGAGCCAGAATGTCCAATTTATCTCTCCACTTCCACATTCCACTTTCATGAAGCCTAAAAGTTGAGCCAAAGACTGCATAGCTCATAAGCATCATTTTTTAGATACAATTGAAGGGTCTGACCAATGTCTTGCGTAATGTATTTTGTGATCACCAAGTATCAACAGAATTTAGCCACTAAGCAACTGTTCACAACTAGATATAACCTGAACCAAAGCACTGGCCTAAAGCGGATCTGGATCTACAAGTTTATAAGACTAAATTGGCACATTGAAGCAGCATTAATTGTGAACTTAAAAACATTTGTTCTTTATGTGAGATCTGAAATGAAATAAAGGTGTCAGGTTAAGACTCCATTTTTGACTGAGTTGGAAAACTCAACAGTGATATCCCATGAGTTCCTTGTCAAAGCGAAAAAAAAATCCATTACATAGAAAATGATGAGGTTAAACTTACGCCAGTGCTGCGAGCCAAGACTTAACTGAACAGTACCATTTGCTATTGCACCAGATACAAGTGAAGAAGCAGAGGAAAAGATTAAAAAGAGAAAAGGTAAGATTAAGCACTAGATCGAGCTATTTACTAGTTAAGCAAGTTTTCTCAGTGAGCTGAAGGAAACTGAGCAAAGGAGTTCTCTGAAACAACCTTTTGTTTAGTGCCTTGCTTAGAGGGGAAGAAGGGCAGGCGATGGAGGGGAAGAAGTGTTGGAAGCTCAGGAAAACAGAATTTCAGTACAATGTTCAAAAGCAATGCATCAAACTTACTGACCATCATATAGCTTAAATCCACGTTCATCTGTTTCTACTTCAGACTCTGGCTGAAGGGGAAAAAAATTGAATTTTTTCAAGGCTGCTTTTATGATCACTGTCACAGATATATACACTTCACTAATAAACACAGGATTATACACTTTTTTACCCCAATTAATATAATTTATCTTCACCATTAAACTGCTGTATACAACTGTTAAAATACAAAAACTTTATTTAATCGAGAACAACAGATACTCCAAAGCATATGACTTGAGTTCATTAGAGTTTTACTTAAGAAATAAGAGCTCCTTCATCCTCCTTAACAAAGACCTCCAACATCAACACACAAGCTGCTTTTCTGCTTTGATTTTGGAGACAAAGAACTACTTACTGCTTAACACAGAACCGCTATATTAATTAGCACAAGGCATCTTGAAAAATGCATCCAACATACACACACTCCTTATTTTAAAAGGGTAGCAAAGAAGACAGTAAGCTTCTTTTTGCTGAGTTTACTCAGTGGTTTGGCCATTGAGACTTCAATTACCCCAGTAATTGAAATTTTATTTCTCCTTCTCATGAAGTTAACATTATTTTAAGCAGCATCAATTTTAAAAGCTCATCAAGAGGAGGACTGAAAAAAGAAATGATACTAAAATCTACTCAAGCCTTATCAGGTCTTTCCATCAATACTGTTACCTTAAAGAAGTCGTCTTGAGAGATTATATCACAGTTGGGAAGCATTTTCTTAAGCTTTTCTGCTAGCGTTGTTTTCCCCCCATTTGTTACGCTGTTAGAAAACATTGTAAAAACTTCATCGAGACAAAAATCAATCTTTTAAACATATGTACAAGTTCACACATACATTTCTATATAGTTATATGCAAAAAAACAATACAACCCCCTCCCCAAAAGTTCATTCACATTAAATACTCTCTACCTATAGAAATTTTTTGGCATGTTCCAACAGCTTTCATTCAGTAAATCTAGCAGTGCCAAGAAAGAGGCTAGAGACACCTGTACCTGAGACCTCCAATAGAGACAGAACAATTTGTTAAGAATTACATGCTTTAAAATCATACAATTATATGTTGTATTTGTAATCCAGTTTCAAAAAAATTTATATTCAGAAATAGAAATTATATCACTTCATTCTGGAAGGAAGACCAGTCTTAAGCTGTAGAGGAAATTTAATTTTGTCATACTTACCCTCCAAGGCCAATAACCAATACTTTCATATTCAGCTCTTCCTTTTTTCTGTCAAGAACAGAAGACAGTGAAAACTCTTAACTCAGCAACAAGGAAAGCAGCTGTCATATTAAGAAATACCAATTATAGAGAAGATTTATTTTCTGTCCTTTTGTCCATTATTTTTCTTTTTGCAAAGCTACAGTCAGAATCTCAACTGTTTGTTCTAATGCTACCAAAAAAACTGCAATTTATATGCCACACTGTAAATTTAAATGTACTTTACCTTTGACCATATTTTAATCATTTGAAAAGAACTCTCAGAAAACCAGTTCTAAAAATATTAATATCATCCAAATTCTTAAAGAAAAGCACAGTCACTAGCTCAAGGACTAACAGTATAAAAAAGACTAGGTAAACAGAGGCTGTGGTGGTAAAACAAAGTCATTGAAAAAGAAACAAGTGACATCCTGAAAAGAAAGATGTTTTAAAAATTTCATGAAGAGTTATAACAAAGAGTATCTTCAAAGATTCTTTTATGAATCTGGTCTCAGCAGTGTAATATTCAAGGTGTAATTCACCACTCCCTTTTTGTGGGGACTAACAGCACAGACCACACACGGACTCCTCCTCTCATACAGATTAATCTGAAGGCATTAAAAGTAGTGTAAAGGTTGTTTAAGCCATCCTAGCTGACTTAGCACTGAGAAGGACTAGGTAGCACTTGATTTTCTCCAGAAAAGATTAGACTGAAACTATAAAGGTTAATTTAGCCATCCATACCCCCGTTGCTGCCAAGAAACCAACCCTGAGGCTCTGGCTGGCTGAACACCTTCAGTAGTCAGAGCTGCCAGAAGACACAATCCTGTCTTGCTCCGACTCCTTCTCCTGAACTTTTTTCTGGAACGGGTGTTTGCAGAGTACTTAGAGAACTATACTAGAAAAGGACCGCAGCTGAAAAACAGTTCTGTAAAGAGTGTGGGGAAGAATATTTGTTTTCAGCTGAACAAATTGCCTCCAGTACACCATCCAGTTTCCCATGTCTGCAAAGGTATGACGTAGCAGGACAGGTTGTTCTCTTGGCAGCAACAGGGCTGCTTGTCTTGGCAGCACCACTAGTCTATAGTTCATCAAACCAGTTTAACATTTGTTAGACATTGCTTTCCATGAGCACACATCAATTTCTAACTGTTTAACCACAGGCAAACACCCTTTTTTTCAACTGCTCTGTCTTCCTAGGTCACACTTAAGGATGTAAGGTCTATGACACCTAAGACCTGAATGGATGGAGCAGGCAAAATTGTCTCACCCATCCCAACAAAGAAGTATCTGTACTATACTGGAAAAAAGCCTGTTACAGGGCATCAGTATGAAAGTAAAACCACACTATTTCTGTGAAAAGTAAGTTTTAGGCATATATGGAGCCTGAAATAATAACATCCTTTTGCATTTGGTGCAATGACTGGACGTTCAACTGTTTCACAGGTCTGTGATGTGATCTTGGCATGGTTCTTTTTTATGTATTATTATGTTGAAAAAAACCCAACAACAAAAGACATATCGACTAGTCAAGCCATCACCCATATGATAGCAAGTGCTTTGTAATGGTGCTCCACATCTGCTTGGATTGGCAAGTTTTTTTAAGTTAGTACACATGGGTTTTCTCAGCATATTGTAATTCTCAAGTTCAAAGACGATTGCATGCTTATGGTATTAGCTATCAGTGCAAAAAGTGCAAACAGATGATCTGTTCTCAGGAAGTGATGATACTCAGGCCACAAAAACCAAAACAAAAATGCTCTTTTCTAAAAATCATCAGTAAGGTTTGTGTTGCAGAGGATTACCCTTTGTCCCACAAAGGATGCTACGTAACAAACTAAATAATAACTGGACACACGTATTGAGCTTTGGACTTTAATTTATGTCATTGTCTATATGTAAATTAATCCCAGTCTAAGGCAAAAAACACTAGCATAAAAAGACCCACCAACTCCTCTGACCTCTGAGTAATGTATAACACAAATTGCAAAGGCAAATTTTTAATCAATGTTGCACCACAGAAACCCTACACCACTTTATCTGGGCTCAGTTTAGCATCTTTAAATAGAACTAAAACCCATGACAACGCTAGCACGGCATTGCCGTCACCCCATTTTTAAGAGCATACCGGGTCAAAACTCGCGGGCACGGGGACGGAAGCGTGCTTCCTTCTAGGCACCACCAGAGCCGGAGAGGGAGCGTCTCTCCCAGGCATCAAGCCCCCACACCGGGGTTGGCAGAGAGGCCCGGGGGTCCGCGCGCCGGTCGCCACAGACGGCCGCACCTCTCCCAGCAGCTGCAACACTTCAGCGTCTCTGGGGTACGCACTTAACTTCAACCACGCTGGGAGGGTGTCCAGAGCGGAGAGCCCACCTCTTATGTCCTATTACGGAGCTGCCCAAGGCGCGCTTACCTCCGAGACGGGGCGGCCCTGCGCGCACCGCGCTCCAGCCACACGCCTGGGATCGGGATCGGGATCGGGATCGTACCCCTCGCAGACGCCGGAACCGCCGGATGCCGGACGCCTGACACCTCAAGCCTCACCGCCCCGCCCCTACCGTGTGCCCCCTTTGGCCGCCTCCTCAGCGGGGGGGAGGGGCGGGGCCTCACCCTCAGCGCGCGCCGATTGGTTGCGTCCCGCCCGGGGCTGGTGACGCGCCTGCGGCCACCGGGGCGGAACCATCCCCCCACTCTGCGCTCCTGTTGCCGCCACGCGAGCCCGGAGGGGGGTTTGCGCCGCCGTCCCGCACCGAGAGCCCGCCTGCAGGCAGCCGCTCGCCCGCCCGCCGCTCCCCCGTCCGCCCAAGGGCCGGCTCCAGCAATGTCCAAGCCTCCACCTAAACCGGCCAAGCCAGGTGAGGGAAGGACGCAGCGGCCTGACCCGCCATCCCCGTGCAGGGCGCGACGGAGCCCGCTGTCTGCTGACACGTGGATGATTTGGGAGTCGGGTATGGGCCCTCAAACAGAGAGCTCGGGCGTGGGTGGGAGCGGGGCAGAGCCGCCCTTCCCTTCCTGTCCGCGCCCTCCCGCCATGAACCTGCGCACCACTCTCTTGGTGCCGGGAAGGAAGGTAGCCTCTCCCGTGGCTGGAAAGGAGCGTGGATCTGCCCTCGGGCATGGTGTCTGGGCGGGATCCCGTGGTTGCTGTAGCTCGGGAGAATGTGAGTGCCCCGGGGCCAGAGCTGTCGCCTGGAGACATCCCTGTCGATGCACAGCCCTCCCGCCCCGGCCTTCTTCCGCTGCGGCGCGGCCCTGCCCGGAGCCGCCGTGCCCGTGGCACTGGGCGGCGCGGCGTGTCCGGCCTGCAGCGGCCGCCGAGGAGGTGCTTGCGTAGGCTGAAACGCGCAGGAAACGCTTTACCCTTTAGAGAAATAGCATTGAAATGCTCTGAGGTTTGACTTGTGGTTGCATGGGTTAGCAATACATTAATTAATAAAAGCAGTTTTATAATACAGTCCCATGCAACATTCTTCCTCTTCTAACGTGGCATCCGCTGCATTCCCTTATAGGACCCCCAGCAGCCAAACTCTCAATTTGCTAGTGCATGCAGTCATCGATGCGTACATTTTTGCTCCTGTATTTTTTCCAGAAAAATCAGTGCAAAGTTAGTTTTTAAAAAAAAACTAACAGCCACAGTTTTTTCCTAAAAATATATGAAAAGCCATTGGAAGTTGCACAGTTTTAAATCCTGGATTAGAAGTGGCATTTTTTCAGTGAACATACATTCTTTTGCCAAAACTTAAGCCATTATTTTCAGGGTTTCCTTTTTTTAAATAAGGAATTGGTCTAGAAAATGCCATGGCTGTTTATCATGTTTGTGTATTGTCTCCCAATGTAAAAGTTTGAATTCTTACTTAGAAGTTAAGAAAATCACCATGAATGTAATTCAATAGACAAGACTAGTTGATGTTTCCCAAAGCAGGACTATCTGATCCCTAAATACATCTGAACTTCAATATTTTTTTGTATTTGGAATACCATTTGAAGTACTTATGTAAAAAAAAAATTAAATACATAACCTAATTAAGTATTTTAACTAGACAGCTCATAAAACAAGTTTTTAATTTAAATGTAAGTAAGTGCAAACCCAGTTTAGACCATTTAAACCTTCCATCTTAACTTGCCTACAGAAGAAAAATCTGCTAAAGCTCTCTGAATGTAGAGTTTCATCCTTGGAAGAACTTCCTCTGCCCTGCAGTAAGCTAAGCCTCTTTGAAAACAGCTTGCTTTTATTGAAAAAGACAGTAAGAAAAGTGTTGCTGTTGTGAACCCTTACTGAAGACAATCAGGACTGAGGAAACCTGCAGGCCTCTAACAGGATGTGGTGTTGCTCTTAACAGCTGAATATACCTGAAGAGTAGGTTTTTCCAGTGAAGTTGTTAGCGGAGTTTTCTGTTTTGCAATAAGATTCTTAAGGAGTTAAAGGCCTCACCCTACCTAACCTGCCTCATACTGACTTAGATATGTTTAATATAGATGTCTCTCACTAGTTTTGTAGGGTGCAGTTTTGCGGTATGCTTGATCTGATAAAATGCAGGCTGTCGTCAAAAGGACAGGTTCCCTACTCCCACTATCCCTTTCCATTCCATTTAGTGGCATGACAAGCTGGATCGCTGCTCTGACTTTTTACGTAAGGTCATTTTATTGTCTGCAGCATGAGTGCTTGACACAGCAAGAGGAAATGGGTGGAAGAAGGAAGAGGAAGAGAAAGAATAAGACTGTCTTGGTAGTGGCTTTCAGAGCTGATTAAAGTAATAAGATTAATTTTGCCAAATCCCTAATTTTTAAGGAGAGAAAATTTTATGGAGTCTGTTGTGTTAAATTTTTTACAAGTAATTTTCAGGAATGGATTGCCTTCTAGCATACTTCAAAATATCTCTGTACTTGTATGTCTGACTTTCTTCTGTCCACGATACCAGTTTCACCTGTGAGATTGTAATTTAATTTCTTAGAATTATAAATGTTAGAGACATAAATATAGAAGCTGTATGTGGTGAAATACTTTCTACAGCAGTGTAATGCTGTCTCTTTTAGTGACATTTAGATTGCAGTTGCTGGAATGTCTGGAATATCTTGGTGCATTTGGCCAAGCTGTGTTAATTTTTCTTCACTGGTTATTATCAGGTATCCAGTCTATACACTATGTAAGGGAACAGCAAGTCTGCTTGCCGTGCTGAATTTACACAGTTCAGATTAGATAGAGGACAAAACAAGCCACTGGTTGCAATAGTCCTTTCCTATGTGTTCAGGGAATAAAAAGTGTAGGCTAGATAGAGAGGGAAGTAAATATGTCAGGTGCCAGGGAAGTGATAATATTTAATGAAATAAATATTCATGCTTTTTAAAACAGTCTTCACTGCTCAAATCAGGGATTTTGGACATTACAGTTGGACCATGCTTTAAAAATGTGTGAAGGGGGAAAATCAACTAGCTATAGCACTGTCATTTCCATCAGTACATAAGACCATTTTATATGATAGATGGCTTTTCTATAAATCCTATTGTGTGCACAGAACATTAGGATTTCAGTTGCAGAAAAATGGTTTTGACATCAATATATGTTAGACAGTCACAGGATATGTTTATCAGCACTTGAACTAGT